TCCATTAGGGGGGTCCACGTTTCGCAAGCGTAGAGAAGGGAGGGAATGACCGTGGCCGAGAAGACCTGAAGCTTCGTGCGGAGCGACAGACCAGGTAGCTTCCACACAGCATTACGCAACCGATGAAAATATATTGCCGCTCGACTGATTCGGAGTGAGACCTCTGCTGATAAACTGGAGCCGGTCATAAGCACACTGCCCAGGTATGGGAAACTCTCCACTCTCTCCACAACTGCCCATCACCGATTGGGAGTTGTGGGGGTGGAGTGTCCGATGGTACAAAATACCCAGGCAGGTGCTTAGTTTTGGTGGGGCTGCCACTCACACTCACACACTCACTCACACACTCACACACACACTCACCCACACACTCACACACTCAGACACACACACTCACACACTCACACACACTCACACACACTCACACACTCACTCACACACTCACTCACACACACTCACACACATACACACTCACACTCACTCACACAATCACGAACTCGGGCAACACGTGCAGGAGTTCAACTGTGACGTTTCCATGGATCCTCGTCGGTGTGGAGTTTAGCAGTGCGGCGCGGAATTAGCAGTGTGGAGTTGGCGTGCGTGGGTGAGCGTTGTGTGAGTGGGTGAGCGTTGTGTGAGTGTGTGAGTGTTGTGTGAGTGTGTGAGTGTTGTGTGAGTATGTGAGTGTTGTGTGAGTGTGTGAGCGTTGTGTGAGTGTGTGAGTGTGTGTGAGTGTGTGAGTGTGTGTGTGAGTGTGTGTGTGTGAGTGTGTGAGTGTGTGTGTGAGTGTGTGTGTGAGTGTGTGAGTGTGTGTGTGAGTGTGTGAGTGTTGTGTGAGTGGGTGAGCGTTGTGTGTGTGAGTGTGTGAGCGTTGTGTGAGTGTGTGAGCGTTGTGTGAGTGTGTGAGCGTTGTGTGAGTGTGTGAGTGTGTGTGTGAGTGTTGTGTGAGTGGGTGAGCGTTGTGTGTGAGTGTGTGAGCGTTGTGTGAGTGTGTGAGCGTTGTGTGAGTGTGTGAGCGTTGTGTGAGTGTGTGAGCGTTGTGTGAGTGTGTGAGTGTATGATTGTGTGTGTGAGTGTTGTGTGAGTGGGTGAGCGTTGTGTGTGAGTGTGTGAGCGTTGTGTGAGTGTGTGAGCGTTGTGTGAGTGTGTGAGCGTTGTGTGAGTGTGTGAGTGTTGTGTGAGTGGGTGAGCGTTGTGTGAGTGTGTGAGCGTTGTGTGAGTGTGTGAGCGTTGTGTGAGTATGTGAGTGTTGTGTGAGTGTTGTGTGAGTGTGTGAGCGTTGTGTGAGTGTGTGAGTGTGTGTGTGAGTGTGTGGTGAGTGGGTGAGCGTTGTGTGTGAGTGTGTGAGCGTTGTGTGAGTGTGTGAGCGTTGTGTGAGTGTGTGAGCGTTGTGTGAGTGTGTGAGTGTTGTGTGAGTGGGTGAGCGTTGTGTGTGAGTGTGTGAGCGTTGTGTGAGTGTGTGAGTGTTGTGTGAGTGGGTGAGCGTTGTGTGAGTGTGTGAGCGTTGTGTGAGTGTGTGAGTGTTGTGTGAGTGGGTGAGCGTTGTGTGAGTGTGTGAGTGTTGTGTGAGTGTGTGAGCGTTGTGTGAGTGGGTGAGCGTTGTGTGAGTGGGTGAGCGTTGTGTGAGTGTGTGAGTGTTGTGTGAGTGGGTGAGCGTTGTGTGAGTGGGTGAGCGTTGTGTGAGTGTGTGAGTGTTGTGTGAGTGTGTGAGCGTTGTGTGAGTGTGTGAGTGTTGTGTGAGTGGGTGAGCGTTGTGTGTGAGTGTGTGAGCGTTGTGTGAGTGGGTGAGCGTTGTATGAGTGTGTGAGCGTTGTGTGAGTGGGTGAGCGTTGTGTGAGTGTGTGAGCGTTGTGTGAGTATGTGAGTGTTGTGTGAGTGGGTGAGCGTTGTGTGAGTGTTGTGTGAGTGGGTGAGTGTGTGTGTGAGTGTTGTGTGAGTGGGTGAGCGTTGTGTGAGTGTGTGAGTGTGTGAGTGTGTGTGTGAGTGTTGTGTGAGTGGGTGAGCGTTGTGTGAGTGGGTGAGCGTTGTGTGAGTGTGTGTGTGAGTGTTGTGTGAGTGGGTGAGCGTTGTGTGTGAGTGTGTGAGCGTTGTGTGAGTGTGTGAGCGTTGTGTGAGTGTGTGAGTGTTGTGTGAGTGGGTGAGCGTTGTGTGAGTGTGTGAGTGTTGTGTGAGTATGTGAGTGTTGTGTGAGTGTGTGAGCGTTGTGTGAGTGGGTGAGCGTTGTGTGAGTGTGTGAGTGTGTGTGTGCGTGGGTGAGTGTTGTGTGAGTGGGTGAGCGTTGTGTGAGTGTGTGCGTGTGTGAGTGTGTGCGTGTGTGAGTGTGTGTGTGAGTATGTGAGCGTTGTGTGAGTGTGTGTGTGTGCGTGTGTGAGTGGGTGAGTGTGTGTGTAAGTGTGTGTGCGTGTGTGAGTGTGTGTGTGAGTGTGTGTGTGAGTGAGTGTGTGAGTGTGTGAGTGTGTGAGTGAGTGTGTGAGTGTGTGTGTGAGTGTGTAGTGTGTGTGTGTGTGAGTGTGTGCGTGTGTGAGCGAGTGGATGATGCGCGATTGGCAAGCGTGCGGAGCGAGGACAATGGGACGCGGGGGACAATGAGGGCGAGGACAATAGGATGGGGAGGCGGGGCAGGGGGGACAATGGAGGGTTGTGTTTGTTGTCGAGTTACGGGGGGGGGGGGGAGGGGGTGGAGAGAGAGGGGGGTCACTCTCGCCCGAGCGACCCCAAACGCAACAATTTACGTGGCTCTCTTTGTTTCGTGCCAATTTGCATGATTGTTTCACTTGGCAGCCTTTGCCAAGGCGTGATGGATTAGCGGGGGTGGGTGGGGGGGAGGGGTCGAGGTGGAGCGGTGGCGCAGCGATTAGCGCATTGCGTTGTGCACCGAGCCGGCTATGAACGCCGCAAATTCCAGAGTCCCATTCCCGGGAGTCGGCTACTGACATTCGTGGTGATCGGGGTTGGTGCTGGACCGATGGGAGGCGCAGGACCTCCCCGAGCCTTAAACAAACAGGCTGTAGGGGCAAGTGCCGATAGCGAGCAGCACCTATGAAGGCCGGCACGGTACACGAGGGGGGTGGTGTACACAGTATCTGCTGTGTACACCACAGCAGATACTCATTTGAGGCTGAGTCGACCTATGGGAGGCCCAGATAGTCGTCACTGGTGTTGTCTGTGAGCGTGAATCGAACTCGGGTCGCCAGGTTCGTAGCGCAGCACGCTAACCAGCTCCACACACACCCACACACACTCCCACACACACACACAGACACACACACAGACACACAGACACACACACAGACACACACACAGACACAGACACACAGACACACACACAGACACACACACACCCACACACACTCCCACACACACACACAGACACACAGACACACACACAGACACACACACAGACACACACACACAGACACTCCCACACACACACAATCCCACACACACACACAGACACACACACAGACACACAGACACACACACACACAGACACACAGACACACACACAGACACACACACACCCACACACACTCCCACACACACACACAGACACACAGACACACACACAGACACACACACAGACACACACACACACAGACACTCCCACACACACACACTCCCACACACACACACTCCCACACACACACACAGACACACACACACAGACACACACACAGACACACACACACACAGACACACAGACACACACACAGACACACACACACCCACACACACTCCCACACACACACAGACACACAGACACACACACAGACACACACACAGACACACACACACACAGACACTCCCACACACACACACTCCCACACACACACACAGACACACACACAGACACACAGACACACACACAGACACACACACACACAGACACACAGACAGACACACACACAGACACTCCCACACACATTCACAAACCGCACAAACTCCCAGCACAAAAAGCCATTCACACGCACACAGGGAGAGGGGGGGTCAGACATTTGTCACGATGTGTGACGAGGAGGGGGGGTTTGAGAAATGTGACGTCACATCAAAATGCGCAACTTTAAATAAATATAGACAACACGTTCTACTTAATTAAATAGACTTTTTAATAAATGTTTTCTCCGACATCAGAGTGCAACGCCACATTAAATACGCATTACAATGACAATAGTTTAAAGCGATTTGAAGCATGTTTTATTTTGGGGGGGGGGGTAGAGCTTTGTGACGTCATATTTGGGGGGGGCCTGCTTTTTCTGACGCCGTGTGACGAGGGGGGGGGTCAAAAATTGTCCAAAATCGCGTGACGTCATTTATGGACGGCCCCTAAGAGCGCTTGTTAGCGAGGCGCTAACAGCACGCGAATTGTCACGGGACAGACCCAGGTGCCATGCGTTCACCTGACGGGAGGTACAGGCTGGGTTCAGACAACACCCACAACACCAACAACTATGCGGCGGTGACGTCACCACGGAACTTGTGCCAAGCTATGTGCACTTGAAGGCCACGTGACCTGTCGAACGGCCGCTGACAGGTCACGGGACAGACCCAGGTGCCACGGGTTAACCGACTGAGATGAGTGGCCGATGCACACCACCTGTGCTCCCAACTATACCAACTCGCTGTGCTTTAACCGCCCGGCGCTCCGCTCGCTGTTGTGAGCGCGGCTCCTCTGCCCCCCGTTGTTGCTGGAGGGCGACTGCCTCCGACGGCCCAGAATTGCCACGCGCCTCGCGGGGAACGGGTTGAACAATCATGAGGCGCGTGCAGCGTGGGACGAGTTCGTGCACATTCGATGGGGAGGCCTGAGTTGGTAGACGCGGTGATGGGCGGCGAGGATTGAGGTTTGGGACGGCGTTTCTGTAGGATGCTCACTAGCCAATCAACACCTTGATGGTGACGATAACGGTGATTGTAACCACACACACCTCATAATACAAGACAAAGATCTCCCCGTGTAGCCTGCACGGGCTCTCGGGGCAAGTGCTGCGAGTGGAGCACCAATGGAGGGCGCACGAGCGCCTCGGTGAGGACATCTTCACGCCCCGGCGACCCACGCCGCCGCCATGCACACAAAGACAAAGATGCCGCGTGTGCACGGCGCAGCTCGTTGGGGCAAGTGCCGCGTGCCCCACACAGACTAACGCGAGCACTACGCCCGGCCGCCTTTGTCTCCCCAGTTGCTGACGTCAACACAAACCGAATCCAGCAAAGCGGAGGGCCCACGACCGGCTTCAGATGTTTCCCGCTGTTATCAGTCACGAGCGGGTCGGGTTTGTGGGGGCCGATGTTGCTAACCACTGCGCCACCGCTCCCCCCAACACACCCCGACGCTTCATCCAGCTCCGCGGGCTTCCGTGTCGATGAGCGCCGAGTCCACGCGGTCATCGTGATGAGGACGCCAACGTCGCGATTGCTCGGCCCGGAGACGCGTGCCTCTGATTGTGACGTCGTCGTGATGTCACTCGGTTGCCCCGCCCAGCGAAGAGCCTCCCAGCGAGTCTCTCTCACCTGCCCAAGTTGTTCGTAGGAGACGTGGGCGATGCCGCTGCTGCTACTGCTGCCCCTGGCGTTGCTGCGTAATCGCGAGTGGGTCACGGTGCAGGTTTGGACGATCCCGGTTCACCCTGTTGTTGTTGTTGTTTGGGGGGTTTGTTTTCACTGTGGCAGGAAGCAGGGCCGGGTGAAGGTTCTTGGCAGGGCCGAGAGGAACTTCTGTCTGAGTGGTCTCTCTCTCTCTCTCGAGCTGCTCCTGCTGCTGCTGCTGCTCCTGCTGCCCCGTGCCACTGCTGCCAGCGCTGCTGCCACTCGCTGAAGCTGATTAAACACAACTGTCTCGGTCACCCCAGAGGGCGACGAAGCTGCCGCCTTGTCGAGCCCGGGCACCGCGACTCTCTGTTGAGAATGAGATTGTGCGACAAACACATTCAAGACGTTAGTTTGCTAATTTTGCAATGAATAAAAAAATCTCGGAAACTTAATCTCCGGTGTTTAATTTCTCTCTCTCACCTTCTGAAATAACAACCCGATTGACATGACGCTGCCTCTTTATCTATACACCGTGCCTATCCTCGCGACGTTAATATATTTACTCAACAAGATATTGGTTACATTTGTTTAATCATACAAACAAAACATGGGCAACATTTTTGTCGTCGGCCCGAGGAATAGTGCCGACTGTGGT